ACCGCTTTCGTTTCTCCAGGTCAACTGCTGATGGATTGACAATAATTGCGGAAAGAGTCTATCATGGTCTAGATAAAAACGGTGAAGTCCGGTCTATAGCTTTGGACATCTCGAAAACCTTTGACAGGGTCTTGGATTTAGGTCTTCTCCACAAGCTGAAAAAGTTACGGTTTCTCCGGACACATTTTTGAGCTGATCCAGTTGTTCCTGTCAAATGGTGAAATGAATATTATCCTGAATGGCTACTCGTCTAGATCATTCGTACTAACATGGATATCCCCCACCTAGGAATACATCCTTGGTCTACGCTGTTTTTAATCTACATTAACAATCTTCCCTATGACATCAGCTCTCAACTTGGCATCTACGCTGATGACACAACCATTTACTCCTGCCTCTATAGTAAGACTGATCAGTGACAAGGTCAAAATGACAGCTGATGTCCAAAACGACCCCCAGAACATCGTTAACCGGGGGAAAAGATGTCTTGTCAGTTTTATCATTTCCAAAACTGAATTTTTCTCTGTGAACCATCTGAAAAACCCCTTTCTGCCTTCAATCAGCATGGCTGATGCTAACCTCCAGGAGAGTGACTATACTACGCCTTCACAGGCTAACGTTCTCTGCTGACATGAAGTGAAAAGACTATGACGAATCCATTGCTAGGTCAGCTGCTAGGAAAGTCGGTTCACTGTGTCGTGCGAGACAAGGTTTCTCTCCGGAATCTTTCTTGCATATCTATAGGTCTACCGTTCGTCCATACTTAGAATATTGCTGCCATATATGCCCCGATGACCCTGTTTTTTACCTGGAGCTCCTTGATAAGATCAAAAGAAGAATCAGCAATATTATTGGTCTTGATTTGGTGGCTCGGCTTCGGTCAGTTGTTCACCGCCGTAAGGTTGTCTCTTTGTGATTTTCTTTGTAAATACATTCATGGTGATTGTTCAGGTGAGCTCTTCGCTGTGCTATCTATACTGTATGAACTTAAGCGCAATACTAGACTCACCAATTTACACTTTCCTTGGCTAGATGTAGCCGTAACTTCTATGTTAATAGTTACTTTTTCCGCACTTCTTGCATGTGGAAATTGCTTTCCGCTCCATGATTTCCAACCAAGTTTAATCTGGGAACATTTAAGTGTATTGTCAATCGCTATCTACTGTTCTCTTGATTACTCTTTCGTCTTCCTGCATTTTATTAATGTTTCTGTGGCTATTTGCTCCACAACTTGTAACCCCTTGTGTCATAGTGGTTTTACTTCCTTACATAGAATAATTTTAATCTAAAATATTTAAATGTAATGTCAATCACCATCTTCTGTCCTTATGATGACTCTTTTTACTAATTACTAATGTTTCTGTTCCTAGTTCTTCCATATCCTGTAAATACATTGCACCTTAGTGTCAGTCTTTTCCTGATTAATACACCAGTTATAAATCAAAACAGCTTGCTTTGATTTTGATAAAAGAGCAAATAAAAGAGACAGTTCCAATAAAATCCCATCCAATTTAACCGATGTAAATAAGCTACTAGTGAGTATAAAACAGAAAAAATATACATATATATATATATATATATGACCCACCCATAAAACACAGAGAACGAAATTCTTCTGCTGCACAAAGTCGGTCGATGTAGTTTGGTATGAACAGCTTCTAGAAACTAAATGTTTAGCTGAACGAGCTTATTTACATCCATTTATTTATTTATTTTTCTTTTTTTATTTTAGTTTTCGATCCTTATTTAAACAACCCGTGAAATTTTTCAATATCGACATTTATTTTTTTTTTTTTTTCTTTTGTATCCAACGTGTCATTCTGAAGAAATGTTAGACGAACAAGGTTCGTTTTAAAGAAAAAGAATGCGCGCCATGATTTTAAAAAATATGAAAATTCTGCGGTATAAAAACTTTGTTAATATATACATATATTTCATTATTTTTATATATATACGTCTTCATGTAACTATATTATGTATGTATATATATTTGTATGAATATGTACTTATGTATATCTTCTTTTTTTTATATATTTGTATATGTGTATACGAATATATTTTGTATATGTGTGCATATGTGTATATGTATGTACTTGTATTTATATGTATGTATATATTTTTAAATATGTGCATGTGTGTGTATATGTATGTATTTGTATATGTATCTATATGTATATATATATATATATATATGTATATATGTGTATATGTGTAGGTATTGTATGTGTATGCATCTATGTACCTTTGATGGGGTGAACTCCTATGTGCATATTTATACTTATATCTATAGGTGTGTTCATGGACGTACATTATATATGTTTTATGTATGTAAATATACGTATGAATTTATATATATGTATGTATGTGTGTATGTATATACATATGTGTGTGTGTTTAGTCGTATATATATATATGTATATGTATGATGTAGGTTGTATATGTAGGATGTATATGTATATATACATATACATAAATATATATATATGTTATATATATATATATATATGTATATATATATATATATATATATATATATATATATATATATATATATATATGTATATGTATATGTAGGATGTATATTTATATATACATATACATATATATATATATGAATATATATATATATATATATGTAGGATGTATATGTACATATACATATACATATATATATATATATATATATATATATATATATGTATGTATATGTAGGTGTATATATATATATATATATATATGTATATGTATGTATGTATGTAGGATGTATATGTGTTTTTGCGTGTTTGTATATGTGGGTCTTAATATGTATATAGACGAAGACGTATATGCATGTTTAGATTGTTTCAGAATAAGGTTTTCATATCGATATATATTCTTCATATATAGTTTTATATTTCATATATATATATATATATATATATATATATATATATATGTATGTATGTATGTATGTGTATGTGTTTGTACGTGCGTATATGTTTATATATGTGTTTGTTTATATGTATATGGATATATAAAAGTATAAGTATATATGTTTATACTAGTATTTATATGTTCATATTTATACGTATACGTGTATCTGTGTATTTATGTATATGTACATATGTGTATTTTTATAATCTTATATTTATTAGCTTAAAATGATCTTTTTCTTATCTATTTAAATATGCTTAAATTCACCTTCTTTCCTGTCGTGCGCCAACGGCTTAGGGGTAAAATCTGACGCCAATTCAGAAGGCTTTGAAACTAGCTAGAGGCAACCGGACGTGTAGCCACATTGATGAGCTGTGATACAGCGAAACAGTCTGTCTGTGTATGATAATATATATATATATACCAATTTAAAAATATGGTTCCATCGCTACACAGGAATTACCATGTTTCAAAAACAGTAAGTAAAACTTAAAAATTTATTTTAAAACACATCTTATTTTTGAAAATTCCTTTTTCGTTTGGTCCTGACTGAATTTAAAAAAATCATTTATAGCTGTGAAAACGTTTGGCCTGATGAGACGAGATCGATTAATCGATCTTGCGAAATAAAAATATTACCATGTTTTTTAAAGTCTCAATTTTATATATATATATATATTATTATTATTATTATTATATATATATATATATATATATATATATATATATATATATATATATATATATATATATATCAGTAGAAAGATGAATGGAATGAAAGAGAATCGTTAGCAATTCATTTACCTAGCAAATTTAATTAAAAGTGCGCTTTTGTTTTGAAAGTATGTCCCCAGTTCTATGTATGTGTCTTAGTCTGTTCAGATCTAGTTTTGTTTCTTGTCTTTCTCGTTTTCTTTTCTTTTTATATCTATCTATGCTTCTCGTTTTCTAATATCTACCTATATGCTCTTTTTATATCGAGCTATCTCCTTCTCTTATTTCTATCTATCTATCTATCTATCTATCTATCTATCTATCTATCTATCTATCTATCTCGGCCCGTTCCTATCTATCTATCTATCTATCTATCTATCTATCTATCTATCTATCTATCTATCTATCTACTTCTCTTTTCACATCTATCTGCTGATGGAAAAGTAGTCTTTCTTAATTAATATTTTCTTATTTTCACATATTTGCAGACTCCATTATTTTTGTCATAGATTTGTACGTACACACACACACACACACACACATATATATATATATATATATATATATATATATATATATATATATTTTTGTGTGTGTGTGTGAAGTTAAGGTAGGTACATATGAATTTATGTAAACTTTCTGTTTCTTTTTTATTTTATTTTAAGGAAGTCTATGTGAACGTTTCGATGCTCTATTTGCTAATTTCTTCAAAAATCCATATTGTTATTATGAGTCATGTACGTACACCTATATATATATATATATATATATATATATATATATATAATACATGGGGGTATATTTTGCTTTTGTAAAAGATGTTTAAATATAAAAAATTGAATTCCTTACAACAAATTGCATTTGGTGAACTAAGTATTTCGTAAGTAATTTTAGATTTTTTGTTCCTGTTACCGATTATTTTGCCAGTGGTTTTATATAAAATCGTAAATGTCTTGCTTGCTTGTCAAACATTTCAATATTGTTATTTCATATCCATATACACACCACATCCTTCCTTTCCTCTATCTTTCTATTTTTCTCCCCATTACGTTTCACCATTTTCTTATACTCTCGCATCTTGTCTGACATTTAACATCAAATCAAAACCAACTCAGCCAATCATTTCCCAATGTTCGAGTGTCGCTATTTACGTTCGTTTCAAACTGATCCTTTTCCGAAAAAAAATTAAAAAGAAAAAAATCTGAAATCACCTCTTGTCGTTACTGCGCTAATTGGTTTGACATATTTTATAATATACATACCATATTGATTGACTTCTATACTTGGCTAGCCACTCATACGTAACTAAGACCTTCTCGCCATCTTTCCTCTTGGAACAGTAACAGTTTAATATAAATATATGTTACGCCCTGATGCACGTTTTCTGTATACGAGTAATTGACGTTTTTACATACGGTAACATTAATTCGTTTATCGCAGGAATTCGGATTTCACACGTTTGTTATCTATCTATCTATCTATCTATCTATCTATCTATCTATCTATCTATCTCGGCCCGTTCCTATCTATCTATCTCGGCCCGTTTCTATCTATCTATCTATCTATCTCGGCCCGTTCCTATTTATCTATCTCGGCCCGTTCCTATCTATCTATCTATCTATCTATCTATCTATCTATCTATCTATCTATCCACTTCTCTTTTCACATCTAGCTATACTGGAACATTATACAGCGGTAGGATTGTATCAGTCGGCTCCATTCAGCATTTAGAATATGAATAGTTACGATAATATAAGCTGTTCCCTGATGTGGGAAAAATTGGAATGTACCGGCTGAGCAACCAGTACTGCTATCGGCTGAAATTAATAAAAAAAAAAAGAAAACTTTCTCCGTAGTAAGTACGCTTTTCAGGCCCACTAGTTCTTTCCAGTATTGATGGGGGTTGCTTTCCTACTGTTTTGTTTGAAGTGGTGTGAAGCGTTAGCCTCCTGATTATGTCAGTATTTTCTCTTCGAGTTACATGTGATATCCATTTTTGCTGTTGCAGTTGTTGAAAGCCCTCAAATAATGTGGTTTATGTTATTTTGTACCGTTTATAAATCGATGTGGCAGATCAATTAAAAAAGAAAATGAACAAATGACAAGCCCTAACTCGAACATCAAGCTGGCGGGAAGAAAGAATTATCGAAATAACGAATCGCGGATCCAGTGTCAAAAATCCCATTACACGCAAAAGTTTAAAAATCTAACGCACAGGGCAATAGTCACTCGCACTGGAACTCGCATTCGCACTCGCACTCGAACTTATACTGGAACGCGAACTCGCACTCGAACTTGCACTCGAACCTGCACTTGAATTCGAACTCGCACTCGAACTTGCACTCGGACTAGCACTTGAATTCGAACTCGCACTCAAACTTGCACTAGAACTCGATCTCGAACTCGCACTCGTACTCGCATTGAAACTCGAACTTGCACTCGTTTGCAAGCGAACGGACGAAGCAGAAAAATAAACCACTCCCCAGTTTAAGAACACTAACGTCTTTTATCGACTAAACAATTTTTTCATTGGTCGACAGTTAGAAGGACAAATAATATTAGCATATCTGAGATGCATTTAAAGTAACAGCTGCCACTGATTTATTTCTTGTTTGGTTATTTTGTCTTCGGCATATCATAGAGAACACACGTACACTTTTTCGCGGTGACTTTCTATTTCGCCACATGTACATTTTATTGTTTGCGGTTCTGTAGCGTTAGTACACAAAATTAGGACGAGTGTTTTTTTCGCCAAAACCCATTTTGAATCATTTAGATCCTAAAAAGATTTTTGTATATAGCTGACAGTTTAGATATTTCTGAACGGGTCTGGTGCCATGCATGATATTCACATGGAATTCTCGATTTGACAAGACTATGAACATGACTTGAGTTTCCATGTTAAGGTTTTGTAGCAATAGAAGTTTCTTATTTATAAGTATAACAGACAAAAACCATACCACAGAAACTATAAATAATAGACATTAAAAGGCAAAAGAAGAAAATTAAATATGCCAATGTATGAGCGCTAGCAAGCAGGAATGTCAAAATTGTAATCCAATTTGGAAATGTCAGACTCAAGCAAGTACAGAAATATATAACTATTTTGGAAGTGTTAGAAAAGATTAGCATAGTTATTGTCACCTAGGGAGGGTTACTGAATAGACTAATCAAATGAAGGTTGGTAATGAATGATGATACTTAGAACACGAAAAACGCATATAAGATTCGCCAGCGGCGCGTTGAAGTAGACAGCTGCTAGAAGTGAATCAAATGAATTCCACAATGAATCTCCAACTGCAGGATATCTACTAAGTACCACACGCTGTCAGATGTGGCACAAGGCCGAATTTAATATGGGGTATTCGAAACCGTAGGCTCGGACAATAATTTCCCCGTAGACCCCGTATAAAACGGGGTCGGGTAGCTGTTTCCCAAGACGAGACTCTGCCCTTCGACATAGCCTCGTCTGGGGATCCTCTCTGCCCGGAGTTTCATCAGCACAGCTGGAGACGAATCTCTGACCGCAGACCAACATACAGTATTTACTACCGTATTTACGTGAATGAAGACATACCCATTATCGTCCGTAGGTATACTACCACAATGGTACAACTATTATTCAACGTTAAAAAAGAGAGTAAAATCCCTTTCTGATGTCACCTTTCATTCCAGAAGACAAAAAAAAATCAAACTTTATGTAGGTGTTGAAACCTATACAAATATTTCATTAGGCTTAACGAGAAATAATTGTGAATGACTTACCCATCAAAGAAAGAAATCGATGCGTATTTAGTCTGTTTTTTTTTTTTTTCATTCTAGACCGGATTTATTAAAAAAATCTTACAGGGTTTATTAAAAATCCCAAAAGATACGCAGAGTATACAGTGTTGATGGCAGACAGATAAAGAAACTTGTAGACAAGGTAATAAAAGAAATTTTGGTGTAGCTATCAATTGTAAAAATAGAAAATGTTTGGTTCTTTAACCCGAGCCACAACTGCAGACATGAGGTAGGAATTGTAGACGTCAGAATTAAGTGTTTTTTTGTTTTTGGTTTGGCACCATTCATGACATTCATATGAAAGTCTCGGTTTGACGAGCCTATTAATGAACAGAACTCGAGTTTCCAGGTCAATATTTTAGTTTTCTAACAATAATTGTTTCTCATTAGTAAGTATGGTAGACACCGAAAAATACCGTTCAGAAACTCCGATTAATGTTAGTTCTAAAAAAAACAAAACAAAACAAAACATTCTGATCGTTAGCAAGCGGGAAAATCAAAATTGTGATCGATTTGGGAAAGCTCAGACTCAAGCAAGTACAGAAATGTACAACTATTTCTGAAGTGTTGGAAAAATACAACGGAAAATCAACAACAACAAAAAAGTAATGTCGAGCTGGTGTTTGATACCAATTTTCCGATATGGCAGTGAATGCTGAACTACTTCGTCATATATGAAGAGGAAGCGTGAGACAACAGAGATATGGTTCTAAACGAGGTGCTGAGAATACCATGGACAGAACATGTGAACAACGAGGAAGTTTTAAGGAAAAAAGGAGCAAAACGCACACAGGAGGAGACACTTAAACTGGTAAACTTACCGAGGAAAGAAGGTTTGGAGAATTTAACGGCGCAGGAAGAAACAACTTGTAACCTACCTAACGAACTTGTGCAAATGGGCGGCATGAGAGTGAATATACAAAAGGATTAATGACGTGTTCGGTGGAGGAGGGGCCTATTCAACATTTGATAATTTTGCGGGATTACACGTTTAAAGAATTTTAGGCAGTTTTGATCAACATTTCTTTTCATTGCTAGCCGTAAGGAATTGTCAATGTAGGTCTACCTTCCATTTGAGTAAAATAATAAAAATAATAATATGTATTAAGAGTTTATTACAGGAAATATCAAGTTTTACGTAAACATTGTTGGCAATTATGCATTTAGTTACATAACATAAAATAATATATATCTTGATACGATATTCGATTTGTTGTTAAGTATTTTTCATTTTCTCCTTTGTTATTGGCAGCATTTTAAAATATTTTGATTGCAAGTTTCCTAAGTTGAACAAACTGGAGATATTTCATTAGCACTTTGTTACCTTTCCTTCCAATTGTTATTTTTAGCTTGCTTTCTTTCAGTCATTTTGATGGTCAATAGTGAAATTCTGAAATTTAGAATGATCTTGTTCCATTCAAAAATAAAGCCTGTAAAAAAGAAATATTTTAAATTAACATACGACCAAGAATAAAATACCTTTGACAAAAAAAAAAAAAAAAAAAACTATAATTATGTAACAGTAATGTAAGGATATTCCACAGAGAGGTCTACTGTTTATGTTACCTCATCTCATCGCATGTTTATGAACTAGAAACCTAAATTGAACTTGAAATATTGAATAATCTGCTCTAATTTTTTTGTAAAATACTTGGATATGATATAATGAATAATTTGCAGTGAGAAAAGCAATTTTCGATTTTTCTTGAATGCGTCCCATCCTCCGCCGAACGCGTCAAATACTAGTTAGATCTACAAAGAATAGGAAGTTGTTGAGAGCCATGATCGTCTACGACCTGAACAAACAAAGGACATAAAAGAAGATAATATTTAACTGCCCACTTGATTCGGAATATTCAACACATTTTCTTTCCAGTCACGAGTTGGTGATCTTTGGTAGGACATGATTTTGTTAATATTTTTTCGATGACTGTCTTTTCAGCACAATAAGATGCTGTACAGAGTGCTGGTATTTAATTTTTTGACAATTATTTTGTACATTTCTACAGTTAAAATTCAGACAATTTTGAACTTAAATAGCATCCCATTACTGTTAATTTGGCGGTTGTTTGAAGGAAGGACGCCATGAGACAAAAGGCAGCACAGCGGATGAGAAAAAAGTACGACTTGCTAGTAAATTAAAAACTGCAATGATTTAGTTTAATTTTCGATTAACTGCTGCTCATAAAGTTAAATGACAATTTCACAGTTTTCCTGTTTTAATATTCTAATGAATCTTAATACTTAAATTAATGACTGAATAAGCTCATGGCGACCTGTGAGGCAATAAAATATCCGTAGAAATTCCCCATGAATAATCATTTTAACGAAATACTGAAATAACTATCATAGATAAGAATGGCGGTCGTCATTTCTAGAAGTGGATACTAATGCAAAAGTTTGAAATTGAAGACTGTTCTGTTCCTTTCTTTCTCTCTCTCTCTCTCTCTTTTTCTTTCTCTCTTTCTTTCTCTTTGGCTTTTTTCTCTCTCTTTCTTTCTATCTTTCTTTCTTTTTCTCTTTCTTTTTATTTTTCTTTTTCTCTTTCTTTCTTTTTCTTTCTTTCTTTCTTTTTTCTTTTTCTTTCTTTCTTTTTTATTTTTCTCTTTATTTCTTTCTTTCTTTTTCTCTTTCTTTCTTTCTTTCTTTTCTTTCTTTTTCTCTTTCTTTCTTTTTTCTTTTTCTCTTTCTTTTTCTCTTTCTTTTTTCTCTTTCTTTCTTTTTTCTTTCTTTCTTTTTCTTTTTCTCTTTCTTTCTCTGTCTTTCTTTCTTTTTTCTTTTTCTCTTTCTTTCTTTCTTTTTTCTTTTTCTCTTTCTTTTTTCTCTTTATTTCTTTTTCTTTTTCTCTTTCTTTCTTTTTTCTTTTTCTATTTCTTTTTTCTCTTTATTTCTTTCTTTCTTTTTCTCTTTCTTTTGTCTTTGTTTTTTTTTCTTTTTCTCTTTCTTTCTTTCTTTCTTTCTTTCTTTCTTTCTTTCTTTCTTTCACTGAAATCAAGTAGAGTCCTTGCCCATTTTTCCACGCGACCACAACGGAATAGTCCATTATACGTAAGGTATAGGCAGAAGACTTTATATACTTCTCTCTTCCTTTCTTTCATTTTCTCACTGATATCAAGTAGTGTCTTTTCCCCACTTTCCACGCGATCGAAACGCAATAGTCCATTATATACGAGGTATTAGCAGGAGGCGTTAAACCTTTCTTTTTCCTTTATTTTCTTTCTTTCTTTCTTTCTTTCTTTCATTTTTTTCGCACTGAAATCATGTAGTAGTATAGTAGCGTGATCTAATGAGTTAAGATAATGAGAAAACCCCAATAAAACAAGCGATATAGAAGTTTAATGTACACAGTATCAAAAACATTATCAAAAAGAAATAAAAGAACCTAAAAGGTTATTTGAATGCTGTTACAGTATTTTGAAAACGAAAAAAAAAAGGTGGCTGAATAAACGCTTAGAGTAGAACTAGAATAATTAATGAATGTACCGAATTCATTACCAGTCTATCTAATGCACTTCATCAGATGAGCTTCTTGCTACATCAAATTTAATTATTAATTTTTATTACGAATTATTAAGTGGTAATGGATTTTACATCTCAGCAAATTTAATGAAATTTGATTTGAGGGAATGTACATGAAAAATTTCAATATCGATATGAAAAGTCACGAATGTAACACTTCCTTATATAAAACATGAAAAAAAAACATAATACCCTTAACAGTTAATTTTGAAATGAAATAAAACAGAACGTGTTTATATGTGTTTGAAATTATCATAACGGAGTGTGTTTCATGCGCATTTACAAAAAAATCACAACTATCAATTATATTAAATTATTTGTCTTAGCAATTCACCAGTGAAGATGACTCCAGATGAGATTGAAAGTACTTGGTAAAATAAAATAAATGAAAAAAAAAAAACTAAGTCAGCTTCCATAATGAATATAGTATCAACATCAAGAAGTCAATCAGAGGATTAAAATAAAAATAGACATAACATCTCCAGATTATTCAACTAAGCATGTTTTAATATATATATATATATATATATATATATATATATATATATATATATGTGTGTGTGTGTGTGTGTGTGTGTGTGTGTGTTAGTTCTATCACTGATATTGAGCGGTTTCTAATAAGTAGCGAGCATATATAATATATAAATATATATATATATATATATATATATATATATATATATATATATATATATATATAATGAGAAGAAGCAGTAAGATTTATAATCCGATGTTCTTATTAATTATTTTTACTTTTAGAAAACAGTGCTCAATACAATTCAGCAGAGGCTAAACATTATAACTTTACTAGTTTAAAAATAAGATTCCATCGCTACACAGGAATTACCGTGTTTCAAAAACAGAAACTAAACTTTAAATTTAATTATAGAATTAAATTTAAAATCTTTATCTCCGATTCATTTTCAAACGATTTCTGGAATAACTTATTTTGAAATTTACTGCGTTTATAAGCACAAACAATCTTGATATTATTAGTTGACAAAGTTACGGGAAATTTAAATCATTATTAATAAGGGATAGTATTCGTTTACATCGACAACTTCTGTGTTAAATCTAAGCTACTTTCAAAATCAGGTTAAGTTAAGGTAGGGTAGGGTTATCTGTTAAGCAAATGATGGCATCCGTTTTTCGCATGTCGTCTGGTTTTTTTTTATTGACATAAAGTTTTTTTTTGCTCAAATTCATATTCAAACGAATCTTTTGAGAAAATCTTTGTATATAAAATTAGAAATTAAATAGTAAAATAAAGATGTAAAAAAACTGTAAAATGTCAGTAAAGAAAAAAAAACAGACGACATACGAAAAACGGATGTCATTATTTGCAGTAGAGTGTGAAAGTTAGAATAAAGAGGGGGGTGTTTGAGGAAAGGATAAAGAGAAGGATGGCGATAAAGATCAAGGCATCAGAAGATGTCGATTGACATTGCATTTGAATATTTGAAGATTATAACTATCAGAGAAGCACGTGAGAAGAAGGGATTTCCACTGTCGGAAAGTGCGAGAGAAGAAGCGGTTGGAGTAGAAGAGGCGGTTACATTTAATAGTTTCGACAGTGAAATGGTAGGAATGAGATGCCAACCTAGTAGCACGCTTAAAATCAGGCAGTTGTTGCACTAGTGAAAATAGCTCGTCAGAGCAGTCTCCATGAAAATAAATGTCGAAAAGACAGAGGGAAACCACATAACGTCTTTGAGAAAGTGACTGGGGTTGAGATACCAGGTAAGGACTTAGCTCATTGCATATCCGTCTTCGAATTTTGTCGAAAACCTAGATGTGAACAGCGGGAGCATCAGTCCATCTATGGCAACAATATTAATTGCAAGGACAAAGAGTAGATGTGTAGATTTGAAGGATGGATTCAGACGAAAAAAACCTTCTGGCGCGACATAGAACCAACTTTCCTTGCGATAGATGCAGCAATTGATTCAACAGGACAGTGAAAAACGTGAGACCAATAAGGGGCAGTGAGACGATTATGCTGTTAGGAGGATTGTTGCATTTCTTCTGCAAACATCACACTGACAAATCCCTTCAAAATGCGAACATAGAAAACTTAGTTTGGTTTACAGTATATCATCCTCAGTGGGTTATCTAATGCCTACAAGATTTTTATTGCTGGTAATTTTTTCTAAAGTGTATTTCTAGTAATTTTTTTCCAAAATGTATCGCTGGTAATAATGTATTTCTGATAATAATTTTTCTTTAACCATTTCTTGCTGGTAATAATTTTTACAAAGTATTTTTGGTATTAAAACCTATTTTTACTTATTCATAGTCATTTGTCCCCAGTTTGACAAGTTAACTATTTACCCACAGTTGGGACCCTAATAGATGCTACCACCCCGGGTCAGGGTGGACCTGGGAACACCTCCAATTAAGAGGTGGCTCCACGCTCCTCAAAACCTCCTGATCAGAGGCCTTGCTGTTAAATGTAGTTTATCGTCCTTACCCAGGACGTGGATGCAGTTTGTTGTCTTACCCAGGACGCGGATGCAGTTTATCGTCTTACCCAGGACGCGAATGCAGTTTATCATCATACACAGGATGGTCAGGAATCCATTACTATTTCTAAGAATAAAGTCAATGAGATGATAGTTTGCTATCATATTTTTTTCCTTTTTGGTAACTCGATAATTCGTTAGGACGAATATATAGCGTCTAAAATTAAGATAAGAAACAATGGAAAAAAGTAATGAGAAAAACTTACTTAATATAAGTAACCCCAAAATAACAAAATCATCTGAAGCCTGAATAATATATCAGCTGAAAAGCTTTATTTAAAAAATACAGAAAAAGCAAGAATAATATATGGAAAAAATATTTAATTTCTGAACACAAAAATACGGAAAAAAGAACTAACAAGCGTTAGGTAAGCATATTTTCTACAAAGAAAATGCAGTAATTCCGATCGTAAATATATTTAAACGAAATAACATTTGAAAACATCTATATTTTTCCCTAATTTCCCCTACTCTGAAGTGTGTGTATTTAGGTAGCAATCCCTATTTTATACATGTTTCTTTAAAAACGACATACAGCGTACTGCGATTAAGATTTTTATGTTAAGAAAATTTTTAAATATTAAATAAAAAGCTTAATGGCAGTACTTAGTTAGTCGTCTTTAACGAAACATATACGCTGCGTGCCAAATTATTATCGAGATACAGGCTTCGATACAGGTTTGACTGTTGTTGCTATTTCCCTCAGATACCGACACCGAGTACTTTTAGGCACAGTAGGATCCCCATGCGACTGAAAAGCTCTTGACTGGTAAGTCCAGTGTTATTCGTGGCCTCTCGTTTAAGTCGTGACATGAGACGACGTGAAATAACCCTCGGCTTGCCTTTATCTGCCTTTTTGCGTACCTGTGTAGGGTCGGCGGTGAACTTTTTCACTGTTTCATGACATCTCCCTATCATTTTAGAAATTTCTAGTGTAGATTTACCTTTTGAGAGTTCTGAGGTGATAGTTTTCTTTTCAGCATCACTTAAACTGCTTTTATGGTCCATCTTTTCACTAAATTCTTACACTTTTCTAATAATTTGGCACGCTCAAATCACCGTGCTGATAACAAATATGGTGCCAGTTTGTTTACATTGCGCAGATCAGTACGATAATCTCAGTGATTGCGCAGGTCAGTGCTGCCAACATTGTGTGAAAATTTTGTGTGAATTGATTGGATGGTTTTTGAAATATTAGAAAAAAAGTTATCTCGATAATAATTTGGCACGCAGTATATATATATATATATATATATATATATATATATATATATATACGTGTGTGCCCGTGCATGCCGTGATGTCGAATGTCTGGTTGTTGCTAGGTTGATGTCTTCTGGTCTGACTGAAAGTACAAAACGTATTTTTTTTTCTTGCATTAAAAACTCGTTAATGTCTATTGAATTTGAGATACAAGATTTACAAGGAACAGACAAAAATAGTGTAATGCGGTCTACTCGGAGCGGGCTAATTTCAAATAAAACAGACATTAACAGTTTTACTACAAGAATATACACATACAGTTATGCTTTTTCAACCCCCAATAGATGCCAACCTTAATAGAGAACACACACACAGACACACACACACATATATATTAAATACGGCTGCGATTATATATATATATATATATATATATATATATATATATATAACGGTACTACGATTTATATATATATATATATATATATATATATATATATATATATATATATATATATATATTAAAGGTACTACGATTAAGCTTTTTCTTCAGTTTTTCTTGCGTCAGTATGTGTACTTTCGTTTCTGAATATAAAGTCTGTAAAAACTGTCCAAATTTTCCATATATCCAAACGTTTTTGGTTACTCTATTAGATATTATTAAGTTTTTGTTTTTAATTTTTAACTGAATATGATCATTTTTAGATATCTGTATCTATTGTAATAGGAAATCTTTTTATATTCTATTTTCCAAA